CTCTACTCTTTGTTTCCCACATTATCTCCCCCACCCTCTCTATCAGCCCTTCCCTTATCCCTCTCCGCCTCATCTCATCCAACAAAACCCCCCTATCCACCGAATCAAACGCCGCTTTCAAATCAATAAACGCAATTAATTTCCCCCCTTTTTTCCTTATCTGTCTATTTACCAAAAAGTTCAAAACATAAATATTATCCATAGTCCCCAACCCCTTCCTAAAGCCCGTTTGATTCGGTGGAATTAACCCTTGCACCTCCACTTCCTCCCTCAACCTTTCTGCAAGTACCACCGTATACACCTTGTACAAAGTCGGCATTATTGACACCCCCCCCCATAATCCCTTACCTCTTCCCTCCGCCCCTTTTTCCTTACTGGCACCACCACTCCCTCCTTCCATTCCTCTGGCCACCCCCCCCCCATCCAAACCTCATTACACACCTTCTAAACCCATTCCTCCATCTCCTCTCCCCCATATTTCCATACCTCGTTCGGAATTCCATCTATCCCCATTCCCTTACCGTCCTTCAGATTTCTCGTCACCCTCCTTATCTCCTCCCTACTTAGCTCCCCTTCCCACCCCTGTCTTCTCCTTTCATCTTTTCCCCTTACCACTCTTCCCTCCACGCCCCCCAACAACTCTTTGAAATATCCTTCCCATTCTTTCATCTCTATCCCCTTATTTATCCTTTTCCGTCTCTTCCTTTCCCCATTTACTATTTCCCACACATGACTCTCATTCCTAGCCCCCTGCATTTTCCTTTCCCATCTCTCATTCTCTTCCCTCTTTTTTGCCTCGCATAACTCCTTATATTCCCTTTTCTCTTTCCTGTACTCCATTCCCTTCCTATTACTCTTCCTCCACTCCCTTAGTACCCTTCTCATCCTCTCTTTTCTCTACACTCCCTATCCCACTCTACATCCCCTTACCATCCTTTCCATCGTATCCCACCTTTTCAATCTATCCCAAAAATCCCTATCCTTATTCCCCACCCCTGCCACATTCCAAAACGCCAACTTTACCACTTTCCCCTCCCCTCTTCTTCTCCCCCCCCCCTCCTCTTTCCCCCCCCCCCCCTCTTCGACCGTTGCTCCCTAATATCCTCCCAGTCTCCCTTTCCCCTCTCTCCCTATTCATCCCCTCCCCGCTCGTCTTCCCCCTCCTATCCCTGTCCTTTACACCCTCCCTTCCCCTTCTACCTCCTCCCTTATTAATTCCCCTTCCCCTGCTTCCCCTTCCACTCCCACCCCTCTTCCTTCCTCCTTTCCCCCTGCCCGCTTTTTTCACCTTCTCCCCATTTCCTTCCCCTTCCATCCCTCAATTCTTCCCTCTCTTTATCCCATTTCCACCACACTCCCTCTATCCACAACCCCCCTCGCTCCATTTTCGCTTTCCCCCCTTCCTTCCTTATCACCTGCTTCATCATCCATCTCATCTTCCTCTCCTTTCACGTCAGATCTTCCTCTATCCATATCTCCCGTCCTCTCAATTTCCCTTTACTTCTTAAAATCTTTCCCTTATCCTGCACACTCCCAATTGTTATATATAATATATATCACCCCCAAACTGTTACAAATATTTTCCTATTTTTCCAACTTATTTCATTTGCGAGACTCTGCTTCTTTTCAAATACCAATGTGATGTAATAACTAGAGGGGCATAAAAGTTAAAAAAATGGAGAAAACTGATCTTATAAGAAACTTTCGATATGTGTTTAGGTTAATTAAAAATTAGCCCAAAAAATCTTAATTAATATCTTAATTAATATCTTAATTAAAAATTATAGACAATTGTAAAAAAATGAGCAATGAACAAATAGTGAAATGACATATGTGTCTAATGCTGACTTGATCTATGTGTGACTTGTTTTATGGGTCAAGGTAACTACGAAAAAATGACTACATATCAGAGCGTAACAGAAAAAGTATTGCAACCATAAGCAGGCAAGACATTATATACGCCGAAGGAAATGGCATTGACATTGAATAGTTTCTTATATGGTAATCCATTACGTCATATTACATTTGTTAATACAGATGAAGGAATAAGATTTAATATACATATACCGCATTTAGAAAGAGATTTATTATACATATATTGTCATAATTATATACGAATCCAAAATAGGAAACAAAAGGTGCACTAATCAAAAAGAAAACGTGCACATCCGTAAAATACGCACAGGATAGTATCCCCACTTGTCGTCAAAACCAACTCGGCTTTCTTCGCCGATGAATCGGTACTGTAATACGAACACCAAACAGTCATCGTGTAACTTTAGCAAACGAATAGCCGCTTCAATTTTTGATCGCTATAAGTATGACATGAAACCATCGTTCTGTGCAAAACGTGAATATTTCGATTTAATTTATGAAACACATACTCTTAGTCTGTTTTTATCAAATTCACAATTTTTAGCAATCAACAGACAAGTTTTTATTTAATTATTCTATGTATATTATATTTTCACCAAAAAAATTATATTTAATTCAATGTGAAATACGATAGTGTAAGTATGACATCAAATTATTAATTTAAATAACACTAGTTTACAAATTTTTAATAATTTTAGTAAAAGAAGAATAAACAACTTTTTTAACGTATTTTGGGACGTTAAGTTCAAATTTGTCCCCAGAAAAATTTCATTAAGTTACATTTTTTTAAATATTCATATTAATTTTAAGATATAGTACGTCTTTTTAAGATACAGCAATTTTTAAAATATAGTATTCTCTCTAAAACTTTTTTAGAGTGAATTTAATATTTTAAAAAGTGAAATCGCACTCTTAAAGATTAAAAATTAAGGCACGCTTTTCCAAAATTGGCTCAAAATTTTCACTCTTTAGAATGAGATTCCAGAATTTAGAGAATTCCTCTCCAAATAATTTGGATGCAATAAGTGATGAGCAAGATAAATATTTCCATCAGAAGTGTTGAAACGGCTAAAATTGAACGTGTTACTAAACGACCATTGATAAATTTTAATACATGAAATCAATTCAAAGTCATAAAAAAAACAAAAATTAAACGCTGACCATTTTTGATTTATTTTTCAATTTCAATAAAACTTTATTATATAATATTAAAAAGAAAAATATTTTCTCATATCTCGAAAATTAGACTTAAAGAAAATATTTTAATAACACACAGTGGCGTAACTAAGCCTATGTGCGCCCCCCCGCAAATTTATTTAGGCGCCCCCTTTTCTTCCGCCTTAATTTTTTGCATTTGAACCTTGAAAAGGTTCCACGTGTATTATGCAGCGTCGCGTCACGACACGATTTTTCACTTACCGCGCGGCAAATGTTTCGATACGGTAACGCATCAAAATAAATATCTACCCTGGGCAGACTGCCCATCATATACATGCATGAATTTTCATGTAGGTAACTAGTTCAAACAAAATCAATCACAGATTCTTACAAATTAAAATTATTTGTTAATACTATGATACCTAGATGCGATCATACTCTTCATTTTATATAGTTTTTGTAAACGACAAGAAAACCACGAAGATTTTGCTCACAACTTGATTTGTTTAAAAACTATTTTTATTTAAAAAAAAAATTGAAAAAAAAACATTTTTCCTGTAAGTGATCAAGTATATTCTTTACAATGGCGCTGACTATGTTCATTTACTAAATTCGTGATTGTATAGTTTTCAGGGCGTTAAATGAAATTTTAGCACCAAGGTCGCCCCATAAAATAAAGGTAAAATTTCAACGCCTGTGATGAAAACAAAATTTTTTTATTTAACCGAGGGTAACAATGGCCATTTCCGAAATGGCATTTCGCCACTCGGCTTACGGGGCGTCAAATCGTCAATTTGACGATGATACTTTGAGATTGAAACCACTATTTTACTTGACCTTTTTTAATGACTCTTTATACATATTTTACTTTTTTACTAGCGCCCGGCGCCCCCGCCTTTGGTGCGCCCCCCCGCACCGCAGAGTCTGCGGGATCGTTAGTTACGCCACTGATAACACATTCAGACATATCAAAAATTACTCAAGAAAATCTCCATATTATACTCTTGCATAAAACAATATAATATATTATAGGTACCGTATATGTGATAACACAAACTATAGAAAGCAAAGCCTTAGGTCTAGCAAGATCTAGCTAGATCTTGAATGCTTGTATGATTCTTGTGTGAATTTATATACTACGTATGTAGTCCTTAGAAACGCGCGCCGAAATGATTTTTCAACGTTTTGAAACGCTAACTCTACTAAACTACCGCAGTAATATGACGAGTTAAATTGACTAGCAATTTAACAAATATATTTGATGCTTATTCGCATCTTCGAAACGATCTTAATAATGTTGAATAACATATTAAAATCTGTAAATAATTAATTCTTATTGCGAAAAATATTATCTCGACCGGGAGTCGAAGCCCGGATCTCTTGCATTCTGTGCGAGCGTCCTAAGCCTTTAGACTATCGAGGCCTCAGTAATATTCTTCGCAATAATTGACATATCTTGCATAAAACTTTGCAAATTAGTATAATTATTTATAATAGAGCTAAAAAAAATCAAAATCCTGAACCTAAGCTAATTTTTTTTTACGGATTTTACGCAATGTTGTGTATCGCCAGATATGATTGCAAATATAAAATACATTCAATAAATAATGTACGATTTTAAATATAGTTTAACTCATAAAATTTATTATAAATATAATTTAATTTGAAATTAAAGGTTTAATTTTATTCTATATTCCGTTTTGTTGTATCCGATTATATATATAAATGTTTCTATGATAGATAATATTATGTATACACTATACGAGAAAGGTCAAGAGTCTTTTAGACTAGAGAAGAATTTATAACATCTATTTTTTTGTAATCGGAAAATATCCTCTGCATAAATTTTAGCACAGGCGGACTCTAATGTGACAGGTGTGTAAGATATGACTAAAATTCAAGAATTAAAGATCGTAGCTTTTTCATATATTTGAACATTGTTAAAATATGTTAAACCATTAAAATGAAAAAATATAACCAGAAACAAAAATATACGTTGGTACCTATGTATATAGTATGTTTAACCAGAGCATCTGTTCAACTTTCGCTCCCTATATGGACTAGAACCGTGACGAAGACATCCATCTCTCTCTCTCTCTCCCTCCCCCCCCTCTCTCCCCCTCTCTCCCCCTCTCCCTCTTCC